CAAATTTCATTCAAAATTAATAAAATTTTTAACATATATGTAATTTTTTATTACAAACAATTTTACTTAGTACATAACTACAATTTATATAGTAAAAAATTAACTTTTATATGTAGCAACTTTTAAATTCACAGTAAAAATATTTTTGGTCACTCGTTTATTAGTAGAAATGATCTACATACACTCTACCCTTAATTATCCAGTAAAATATAGAGAAGAGTGAAAATAACTTATAACACATATTGCATTTTGGAATACTCTTTTGTATGTATCAGATACTTTGAAAATATTCCCAAAGACCAAATTTACTTGATGCACTATACATAGGATGAAAACTTTGTTAGGAAATTCAACTCTTATTTGTTGCCTATAAGTAAAAATAAATTTATACAACACATAACAGTTAATTTTTATGTTTTGTTTTTCTGCATTATCCATTATGTATTTAATAAGATATTTTACATCTTTATTTCTTGATTGTTGGTCACTAATATCATGCATATTCCAAACTAAAGCTTCACCTTGAGAAGTAATCAAAACAATGCCAAAAAGATGCTCTTGCTTAATGTTGGTTCATCTGTCAAATGCTGCTGTTACTCCGATTTTATCTGAATATGCACATTGTAAACTAACTTTTCTGAATATCTTGAAAGAATTCAATTGCTTACTGCACGTCTATTAGGTAACTTTAAAGCTGGTGCAATAAAGTTAAAAACCTCTTGTGTTTTATTATTTTTCATAAAAGTAAAAGGTAAACCTTTGATACGATCATATATAATACCAAGTTTTCAAAATGTGGTTTATCTTTTTTAGATAGTAGACGTGAAACATAGGTAGTAAATATTGTTTGTCTTTTAGACAAATCAGTTTTTAAAGTTTCAGAAATTGTGAGAATTGTGCTGGAAATTTCATCCTCAATGCAATATCAGCGTTGGTCTTGGCTACTAATAGTTTATTAAATATATTACTAATATATTAAATAGGCAAACCATTAAAATATATTATATAATTAATTACCTTTATTATTGTTGCCTTTTTTTTTAGTTTCTTCAGATACTGATCTTTCAAGAATCTCCAAAATCTCATCCATATTATATTCTTCCTTAAAATTTAAACAATCTCTAAAATGGCTTCGACATAACTTTGCCTTATTAGATATAAAACACTAGGGGTTTGTAAGTGCAACAGGTAAAGTATGTTTCTATATACATGAAAGGCAAACTGCCTTTTTGTTTGCTTTCGGATTATCAGGTTCAGCTAGATAAAAAAAGTCTTGAAAATTATGTTCTTTTCTACCCATTTGATGTTATTAGAAAAAAAATGTAGTATTAAATTAAAAGAAAGATGAAATTTAAGATATCCAGCATGAGATAACATGTTTAATGCCAAATCTACATACCCAATTACATTAATAAGTTCTTCTAATTTTAGTAAAACACACTCATTTCTTTTACCTTTGTGTAGTTACTACTATATTGTTAAAGCATCTCATTAATCTAAATATTATAGTTGGCTTAATGTAATCTATTATTATTATTGTTTTATGTTTTTCTTATATATATATATTTATTTTTTTTATTTTTTTTTTACTTTATTATTTAGGATTGTTATGTCAATAAGAAAAAGTTCAATAATTTTTATAATATTATGCATTATTACAAGATTCACATCACGTATTGTGTGTTTGAACCCACTTGAAGCCTTGCTTGTATTTGTCAACCTTGTAACTACAAAATCAGTAAGGATTACATTTCTAATTTTGCACAATTTCTTTACATTTTTACTAATATTTTTTAACCTCCAAATATTCGCAATTCATTCTGGTTGCGTGGCAACAAGAGTATGTATTTTTTTAATTGCTTTTGATAGAAAAAAAATGGATCTGATATTTATTACAAATTTTCTGAATTTTTTCCTTTTATATAACTAGTTTATCAAAACTGATATAAGGTCATGCATTTAAAATAAGCTCTGCATACATTAATCTTATCGATTTAACTGATATGTACAATATTTAACCAATTATATTGCACCACAGATTATAGTATATTATTATACAAACTTTAAATGACTTACAAATTCCAAATGACTTAGGTCATTTACAAATAACCTAAATTATTTGGTCACAGGTTATTTGCAAATGACCCAGAATTTAAATGATCATAATAACCAGTCATTTTGAGGTCATTTTTGGTTACTTGAAAAATAGGCAAATGACCAGATTATTTACTATCCCTGGTATAAGGATAATTACGTTTTAACTCAAATGATGAAATGAATGCATTTTCATGTCAACAATGATCAAGAAATATTGCATCTCTTCTTAATATTTTCTAACAGTTACTTTTGTATTGATATAACGTCATATTAAACTGTGAAAATTTTCAACTAGATATTCGTCAAAAGCATTTAAATGTGTTTTTAAAACATTAATTATTGAATGTTTAATTGTTTCCCAATATTGAACATCAGATAAAAAAGCCAACATAATTTTATTATAATTATGTCTCTGGAATCTTCGCATTATAGTTTACAACTGAAATATTATACTAACATACTCTTTAGAATGATTTTCTCGAAATAGACATGTATATATCCAAAGCAGCTGGAATCAAATTGTCAAAAAAATCAAAAAAGGTAATATATGCAATATTTTTAGATTCTTCAAACAATTTAACAATATACCTTTTAATTAAAAGCCAACCTTCATATGCAAAATACAATAACAAATTAATATGCCATGGTTTAGGTTTGGCAGCAAGCTTTTGTTTTTTTTAAAACACTGTCTTATATAATTGATCAAAAAAAGAATGAAATACAATTATAATTGACTCTTGTGTATTGAAAGATACATATAACAGGCCAAAAAAAGGTACTAAATAGGTAATTTCTTTTGGAATTGATAATTCTTCAGATTCTAATTTTTTTACAATAGCTTTTCATATGAATAATTGTCCAGGAAAATCTGCTGGAAGTGGAATAATATAATTTCTTAGATATTTGATTACTTCTGGCAAGCTTTTAAATTAAATAAATTAGTATATAGCTTTAATTAAAAAATCATTGCATATATACTAACCTTAAAAATGTTTTAATAGCTTCAACATAATCTTTAGCATTCTTTAAATCTAATTCAATGCAGTCTATTAATTTGGTTTGATTAAATTTTCTATAATACTTTTAAGCAATATCTGCATTGTAAGAATGAATTGTTAAATTTTCAATTAAGTTTGTTTTATTTGATACCCAACTCCAATTTGA